AATAATTTCTTTTTTTTTTTACTCAATTTCTTACTAATTCGGCTATATGTAGAAGATGAAAATCTTCTTTCCTTTATACTGAAAAAATTCAACTGAAAATGTGTAGTATGCCGTAAAATATTTATATATGGACGAAATAAATTTACCGTTAGTAATAATAATTATGTTGAATTTAATTTGGAAAAAACAAGACAAGAAAACAAAATTTCTTAAAGCAAATTTGAATAAATTAAGTGAAAATTTTCTTGATTTTTGCATTACGTATTCCATATTGTAAGAAAATGAATATTAAACAAGAGCCTTAGGGTTTTATTGAAAATGTGCTCGCAAAAATTGGGTACATATGCTATAACATAATTACGGCTAGTATTATTATATAAGTGCAATTCACTCTTAATTGCAATAAAATAAAATTGAGGAGAAGCCTAGAAGATAAGAGAATGAAAGAGAAATTCTCCTATCCTCTTGCATTTTCTAAAGCCAGAGGATAGGAGGATCTACAAGTCACTCATGATATTTTCCAAAATATTCTTATATTCCTTAGCTATATAGTAAGTGATTACTTACTATACATTACCTTAGCATGTCTCTAGTTTAAACAACAGTGCTTTTCTAAAAATTTTCACTATAATTAAAGTAGCATTGCAAAAATTAATACTCGTATGGTCATTGGATTTTGGTTCCAATAACGTTAACATTATTTTTTGTTTTTGGTAAAGCTTATAGTGAACCTATTAAAAATTTTTTAAAAAAATAATTTATTTACTTATCTTAATAGAAATAACATTAAATATGTAGTGTACATGGAATAATGATTTTTCGTTTAAACTTCAATAAAATCTTCAAAATCTCTTAAAATAAATTGTAAAAAATGTAAATAGAAAATAAAAGTTATATTTACAGATGCTCAAGGTGAAAAATAATGTGTACACGCAAAAAAAATTCTTAATAAATCTACGTGTATAAACATAATTTTAATTTCAGTAAATAATACTCATACTTACTCACACACCAACTTATTGGCACATGGATATTATTATGCTTTGAAGATTTATAGGTATCTTTGGGATGACCATATCTGTATGATTTCCTCAGAAGAACATTAATTTTCAATTTTTAAATTTCAAACTTTATTATATTTCGATAATTTTCGTTACTTAGCTAATTAATCTGCAAGAATGGATGCATAGCAATCACAAAAATAAAGTTATGCATTGTTAAATATTTTCGTGGGAAAATAATAATTTTTATCGGATATTCGAAACTGGTATACATATGAATTTTTTTTCGTAAATTAATATGATAGAAAAGTTACAAAAGGTAGCTTGTGTCACTAGAAAATGGCTTAGGTTTTCGGAAACAATTTCGAAAATTCGTATTATTTCAATTGTACTTTTTCAGATTTCAATAAATGGCCGCATTGTAAAACATTTTATAAAGTACTCATACCATAAGATTGAAAATGACACTATGACGTAACGTGTACAAATTTTCTGATAGCAAAATAAAAGTAACGTACGACACGGATAAATTCATTCGAAAAGGAAAAACCAAAAAACAAAAAAATAAAAAAGTAAAAATGGAATTGGAATGAAATGAAATAAACGTAAAATCGTTAATATCACAAAAATTCCGCTCACAGGTACGTGCTTCCTGTTATTGTTTTTAATATCTTTATAAATGCGACTTAAGTACGAGTATAATAAAAATGTTCCTATGCTTGGAAGTAATGAGCTGTGATATTCAACAAATTGTATGCTTTTGCGTAAAATGTTTGGATTGTTTTTTTCTTTTTGTATATTCGTATTCAAAATTCAAAGTCTTATCGTATACATTCGTTTTTTCTTTTCTCTCATTTTACGAGTATAATATTTATTTAAAATAAAATTTGAGAATTTTTATCTTTACCTGAATTTAATGGTTGTGGCTACATATTTTTTGTATATTAAAAACAAGAAAACGGAAAATATGGAAGTAGAAATGGAATCATTTGAAAATCAGCAAAATTTAAGCGGTACTGAGGATTTTTTATCTTAAAATGCATTATATAACAAAATCTTTTAAAGATTTGAAGAAGAAAAACTTTAAGAACTCAGGGAATTTGTTTTGAATTTGCGCAATGTTTAACTCAGAAGGGTCACTTTGCACAATGGTGCTAAATATCATGTGATTTATTCAGAAGTGCATAAATTAAAAATTACTATTGAAATTTTGATCAGATTGCTCAAAATATTCTCTTGCTCAAAATTTTAATTTCATATTTTAATTTAAAATTGCCCATATTCCCATATTCGTTGGCATGCTTTTAAAAAAAAAAAAAAATTGGAAAAACGTGCTTCTTAGTTTCATTCCGCCCACATTAACTTATTTCTGTAGAAGAAAATTTTTACTTCTTTTCTTCAACCCAATAATAGGGGAAATCTAATATATAGGCTTACAAATCAGTAAAAATGTCATTAAATGCATTTAATAGACAGGTAGGGACGTTCTTCTACCGTAGCACAACATAGTTGAACAAAAGATGACCCTTAAAATCAACCGTTATCTAAACCGTTACGAGTTAAACTGTAAGGTTTCCCAAGTTTCTATAAAAGCAAAGGAAAAAATGAAATACCAAATTATTATAACGGTAATTATTAAAAAATATGGTATAATAAATAATTATCCCAATTGAATTCGACCACTATACTAAACCTTCTTATTTTTTTTATGCTCATCCTAAATGTATGCAATCATTAACTAGAAATTTTTGGTATAAAAATGAAAGTAATTAAAATAATGTGAGAGATTGTTCATAAAATCAGTATCAAAGCGAAAAGTGCTGCTTTACAAACTACTAGTTTGACAAAACTTTATTTTGATAGTCAATTTTCAACAGCTGTTGTTGTGTATTTTGATATTAAAATCATACCAAATCACTTACAACTTCAGATTGCAAAATAATAATATTAAATTTTTCCGAACTTTCTTTATTAAATTTTCCGGAAAAAGAAATAATTACAATTTCATCCAAATGTTTCACAACATTAAAACTTTAATCATTCGCTGTTATTAACAATCTTTAAATGAATTAAAAATGTTATTTGCAAGAATTAAATTTGTATAAAATGAAAACTTTTGCAAATATTTTTAAGATTTTCGTTTAAAAATAAAAGTTTATTGATATTTAATTCTTAGAAATTGAAAATGAAAAAGACAACAATGTAGGAATGTAAGAATGAAGAAGTCATTTTTGGATACAGTCCAAACGATTCTAAAATGTAAAATTAAAAATTTCTTAAAAAAAATCCTTATAGTTTAACTGTAGCAATCTAAACTCTAAAATTCAAAGAAATTACAAAATATTTTCAAAATTTTTTAATGAAATCAGAACCCAATTATCATTTGAAGATTTTAAAATCAAATTTCCATGTTGAAATCAAAAGGTTTTAAGGTAATTAATATCACTTTCAAAACATGATATTTTCACTAAAAATTTTCATAGGTCTTCCACCTACATGTTATGTGAGACTATTTAATCATTATAATAACATTAAAATTTTCAATCTATTCAAATTTACACCAATAAAATATTTAATTATTTTCTTCAAAAGAAAAATCTTTTTTATTACACCCATTTCGTAGTTTTCAAATTAAATTTTTATGATATTAGAAAAAAAAAACTGTTCAAAAAGAATTTTCAATACTAAGACCTCGAAATTTTTTTCATTTTACCAAGAATATTTTCATATCGTTGTGTTTATTGTACACAGCTTATGTTTCAACATTAAATGACCTAAAAAATTAATGTTTATGGTCTATAACCTTGCTTTTAGTTTTCTAAATATTATTTATATTATAATGTATATGTTATAAGATAGCAGCGCCCATTAACACCGTACAAATAAATAAAAAAAAAGAAACACAGAATAAACTATTCACAAAAAAAAGGATATAACCATAAAATTTAATCCTTATGTCTATTAGAATTAGTTTTTACTCTTAAACTCTATATAGATTTTCAGGATGTTGTGTATTTTAATGTTAAATATAGACTAATTTTTTGTGTTCTTAATAGGGGAAATCTAATACAATATCATAAATATCGTCCTTTCAAAAGAATATTAACACCATTTTTAGTATCATAATAAATATTTGAATAGAAAATTATATTGCACAAAGTTCTATAAGTCATCTTACGTATATAATTAAATGTATCTAGTATAATAAATAGAAGGTGTGTTGGAAGTGTGAACTAAGGAAGGATAATATTTAGTTTCATCTCCAATATTTCAATTTTATTCATTCACATTAAAATTTTATTAAAATTTAATTTCGACTATAAAAATTGGCAACAAAAATATTTCATTTTACTTTACTTGGATAAAGAGCAAGAGAGTGTTGCCTTACACGTTTGCATGCACATTTTATACCTTGTTTTAGAGCTTTAAAGTATACTTACGGTAGTAATAGCAAAATGGGGTGGCAAGCGAACATAGCTGATGGGTATCCAGTTACATCAGCACAGCTTCTGCCTCTCAACGCCAAATCTCACCTTCACGTGGTTCACCCTGCTAATCTGAGTAACCCTTATGAAAGATTCGGTAACCAACCCGGTTGGTGTAGTTTGGGTCAGTGAACAAACGAGATTGGCGGGCTACGCTTTTGAATTGTAGTTTCATGAGCGATAGCTTCGTGGCGTCTGTCCTACAATAGGCGACCACAAACAGCGTCTGTACCATTTAGATGGCGGCTGATATATAAAGAAGGAAAACTACCGCAAACCCTCTAGAAGGCAAGGGGAAACCACTAGAGTATATTTCCCTAGATAAAATACTATGATAGTTATTACAGAAAACCAACGGCCCTCAGTCTCCGGCAATAAGAGGGTGCTAAGAATCCCCGGAGGTAAAACCAGTAAAAACAATAGAAAACGAAGCAATAGTAGATTTTTAAAAATTGGAACGTGGAATGTTAATAGCCTGTTTGAAACTGGGAAGTTGGCAAACACAATAAAAGAAATGAACCGTTTAAACATCGATATACTGGGCGTTAGCGAAACATGGTTGCCAGACTCAGGCGAATTACTGTCAGAAGGAACCAAAATTTACTACTCCGCCAACAATACAAGTAATCATAGAAAAGGTGTTGGTATTACCGTTTCGAAACAGGTTATTTACAGTGTAGAACAAGTCATTCCACGGTCTGATAGAACAATGTTCATGAAAATAAATGCATAACCAATAGCAATTAATATAATTCAAGTTTATGCGCCCACAGCAGACAAATCTGAAGACGAAGTTGATAGCTTTTACAGTGAGATCGCAGAATTGTTAAAACTTACTAAACCACATGAAATAAATTTAATAATAGGCGACTTTAATTCAAAAGTTGGACTTGGAAAAGTTGAAAATATTGTTGGCCCATCTGGTTTGGGAGTCAGAAACGAAAGAGGAGACCGGCTCATACAATTTTGCCAAGAGGAATCGTTGAAAATTACAAATACGTGGTTCTCTCTTCCACCTAGAAGATTATATATGTGGAGATTTCCTTAGGACGACATTGGCAATATAGTCCGTAATCAGATTGATTTCATTTTAATAAATCAAAGGTTTGGCACATCAATAACCAAAGTAACAACATATCCGGGTGCCGACGTGCCGAGCAATCACAATCTACTTGTTGCGAAACTAAAAATTAAATTGACGCAAAAACGACAACATTCGCGTCATAAACAACTAGATTTAGAAAAACTAAATAATGATAATGTTAAAAATCAATCTATTATCGCAATCAATACTGATTTAAAAATGTTAAACTTAAATAATACCAATGTTGATGAATTATGGAACCAAACAAAAAATGTTCTAAAAACAACAGCAAACAGAGTATTAGGCACAAAACGATTCACTCTTAAGCAGCAGTGGGTGACCGAAGAGATATTTCAGTTAATGGAGGAACGAAGAAAACATCGACATAAAAATGAAAATGAATATAAAAGAATTCATCGAATTATAAGATCAAAAATAAGAGAAGCAAAAAATAATTGGTTGAAGAAGGAATGCGAAGAAATTGAGCACTTTCAACATGTTCATGATCATTTCAAATTACACAAAAAAATTAAAGAAATGTCAGGTGTTTATCGAAAGTCTAAGTCTTCAGCACTGATGAACGAACAAAATCAAATAATAAGTGATCCTATACAAGTACAAAAAACATGGAGAAACTATATTGAAAAATTATTTTCGGACACAACAAGACCAATTGAACTTTTTGTTGTACCATCTGAAACCAGGAAATTAACCGGTCCTTCAATAAAAAAGAGGAGATTCAAAACGCTGTAAAATCTTCAAAAAATAAAAAAGCTGTTGGCCCAGACGAGATTCCTGCTGAAATAATTAAGTTAATAGATGACGATAACTTGATAGCGCTCGAAAAAATATGTAACTTGATTTACGATACAGGTGTTTTTCCGAAAGATTTTTTGCAGTCGAATTTTATAGCCCTACCAAAAAAAAACAACAGTCGGCAATGTAACGATCACAGATTAATAAGTTTGATGAGCCACGCATTAAAAATCTTCCTAAAAATAATTCATAATCGTATATACAAAAAATGTGAGGCAAACATGGGACGTACACAATTTGGCTTAAAAAATAACATGGGCACACGTGAAGCTCTATTCTGTGCTCAGGTCTTAGTTCAAAACTGCAAAGATGTCAAAAAGGATGTTTTTATGTGTTTCATTGACTATGAAAAAGAATTCGACAGAATAAGACACGAAAAAATGATCGACATAATATTAAGCAAAATGGATATTGATGAAAAAGATATACAATGCATCATAAATTTGTACTTGAATCAAAATGCAAAAATCCAGTTAAAAAATATGCCTGCAACTCATGAAATAAAAATTTATAGAGGAGTCCGACAAGGATGCGTATTATTTCCATTATTATTTAATATTTATGCAGAACAAATTTTTGAAGAAGCTTTAGTCGATGAAATGGTTGGTATAAAGGTTAACGGAACATATATTAATAACCTAAGATATGCGGATGATACCACTTTAATCTCCGACAGCTTAGAAAGCTTACGGCACTTAGTGAACAAGGTGAACATATATAGCAAGGAAATGGGTCTTAACATCAACGCCAAGAAAACGAAATATATGATCATAAGCAGAAGTAACCAACCCTACAACAACAGCAAAATTCTCGTGGATAACATGCAAATAGAGAAAGTGGAACAATTTCAATATCTGGGAAGTTGGTTAAGTACTGATTGGACGTCCGATAAAGACATTCAATGCCGGATCGAAATGGCAAGAAACGCATTCAACAAGTATAAAAGGGTACTGACAAACCGAAATATCAATATTAAGCTTCGCTTACGTTTCGTTGAGTGCTATATAAGGTCAGTGTTGTTATATGGTGTAAAAACATGGTTCCTAAAAGTCAAACAAATCAATAAACTAGAAGCATTTGCAATGTGGGTTTATAGAAGAATACTCAAGATACGTTGGGTGGATCTTGTGTCGAACCAGGAAGTTTTGAGAAGAATTACCACAGAGAGAAAACTATTAAAAACAGTAAAGCAACGAAAGCTGGCTTATTTTGGTCATATCATGCGTGGCTCAAAATACGAACTATTACAGCTGATCGTTGAGGGTAAAATTGAAGTCAGACGTGGCATTGGGAGGAAACAAATGTAGGCAATGGACTGGCATAAGAACTATCGAAGAACTAGTTAGAAAAACTCAAAATAGAAACGAATATGCAGAATTAATTCAAAACGTCATTACATAGTATTTCGCTGACATTCATTAAATGGATTGCAGTAGAAGAAGAAGAGAAGAGTAATAGCAAGCACTGATTGCAAATAATGGCAAACATTCTTTACATTGGACAAAATTTTATAAGTTAGGAAGGTCCTATTTTAAAAATATAGAATTTAATAATATTACTCTTAAAATGTTAAATTGCTTCGTGGAAAATTACCACAATATTTGGGAAGCTTTATAGATCAAAATTTGCTTCAAAAATTTCTTTAAAGTTTTAACAACAAAATCATCGACTTTGGCTGCGTATATATACCGCAACATGTTGCCCAGTACCTTCCAGCAACGGTAAGTAGTAAAAGTTAAATATTTGCATGATAGCACATGAAAAGATTTTCGATATATGTAGTTATAAAAGGATTAAAATAATGTGGGTGGGAAATATTTTTTGGTTTTCATGATATATTCATAAAAATGTATTCGATTAAAAATATTTTTTAAAGACTTTTAAATAACATTTTGACCATAAATTTAATTGAGGTCATCTTTACTACTATTATATTATTATATACGTACATAGTTACCTTCATACACACCTACTACTTATCTTGCTTCGTGTTATGCATATCTTATGTTATGGGAATATAAAATAATTGTTGAATTTACGATATAAAAATAATGTATGTGGGTCAAAAAAAAATCAAGGTGCAAATCAAGGAATGAACACACAGTGTATAAAATCATTTTATTTTAATATGTTTAGTTAAATAGATGTTAAATATTATAAAATAATTTTTAGACTTGTAATAACTTTCTTGAATCATTTCTGCTCATAGTCTCAATCTCTAATTTGAGTTTCTCCTGGCAAAAATGAAGATTCCGGCTCTGGAAATTAGCATTGAGCGTCAACGGTTTTGCTCCCTTCATACCGATGAAGGGACATGCGTTACCATCGAATTATTTGAATATGTATTCCATCTATGGCACTTATGACTCCTGGAAATTTTCTTTTTTGATAAAAATTTTATTTCGCTTCTCTTTGTTCAGTTTCTGGCATTTTTAATTTTATTTATGTTGTGCATAATTTTTCTTCTATAACACTCCACACTTTTGTGATATCATTGGACATCCTTTCTTGTGCAAGTGCTATGTTCTTATCTTGCCCGATTCCATTTTGGGAGCCTTCTACTGCCAGAAATCGTAGTGTCCCCGCTAATTTTGTAATTTCCGGTACGGAAGTCGACCGCCATGATGTCTTTAACTAGCTTTTGATAGAATTCAAAACATATACAAAAACTTCTTTTGATAGCCAGTAGTTTTTAATAAATCTAAAAAGGAAATTTATCAGAAATAAGCAGGGTAAATGCTTAAAAAAATTTTTGAAAGTTTATTTTATTTGCCCCTTAGTACCTCCCAATGGCATTGTAAAACCGTTTTTTCTCCTCGGTATCGTTAATGTTGAAGTAAACAGCCAAGGTATCCATTAAAAAATTAATTTGTTTTTCAAATAAAAAATACAAATAAATTTTTCCATTTTTGTAAACAAACTTCAGTTGAACGAAAAAAAAAAAATATGAAAATGACAGCTGAACTTTCAAAATGTTTACTGTAACAACTAAAGTGACATCTGGAATTTGACAGATGGTATCATTCCGAATGTAGTAAGCCTCCAGGCTTCAATGGCATCCCGGATGTTATACATGATTTTTTTATTTTTTTCTTTTAGTGTAATTCCGCTGTTGGAGCATTTTAAAATTAAAAAAAAAATTGTTATCCGAATTGATGAAGGGAACTTAAAGCATCGACTTAATTGCTTGTCTGTTAATTAAAAGCACTAAAATAAATTTCAATTTCCCTCATCCCTTTTTGTTAATTTTTTATGTTTTCCAAGGTTTTAAATTTTAATTTTAACTTGTTTTTTTTTAATTTTTTATTCCTTAAACAAGGTAATATTTTGAATTTCAATTTTAAATATAAAGAGAAAATTTCACTTTTACCGCTTGCTCTTCTCCCCTTCTCATCATTTCTCTTTCATTAATTCAATTTCATGTTATGATAGATGTCAAATTCAAAATGTCATTTTCTTTTTATGATCTTGTTTTTTTTTGTTTTCATTATTCTTTTACGATTCTTGTTGATTTTTATTTGAATTTTGTTATTTTTATATTTTGTATTTATTGACAGTTCTCTTTTATATTCGAAAAATCTTAATTCTTAATAATAAAGAAGATGAGTTTTTAATGTAATGATTTAATTTTCAAGTTTTGGAAACTCACACCATTCTGAAATTTAATTTTAATGTTTTGCTTTTCTTTAAGAAAAACTTTTTTCTTCTATTAAATTTCTTTGACCTTAAAGTTGACATTAACCGGATATTAAATATTTCCTGAACTTAAACTGAAGACGAAAAAAAAGAAAAAAATAAAAAAAAAAATATAGCAAGAAGAAAAAAAAAAGGATAGAAACTTTAAGAAATGTAGGAAGATGAAGCATCCGAAAGACTGCTGGGAGGGAAAAAGGAAGAAAAAATAAGAGAGAGAAAATTAAAGAAAAAAGGTAAAATAAAAATCTAATTCAATATCTATATAGATATGTTTGGGATAAAAGTGTAGGTATATACGACTATTCTAAGTTCTGGTGTCCAAAATAATCAAAAGTGATGATATGTTCAAAATGGGGACAATTATTACATTCTGTGTCCGAGTCGAATGGAATTAAAATCAAAATTGATGTTAATTATTAGTAATGGTTCTGTCGTTTTCAATGGTTAGGTTGCTATTGCACCAAATTTGGACTGCTATAGGAATTACCTATAGGAAAAGGAGAAAGCTTAGCGTATAACGTGATATGAACAAAATCTAAAATTTCTATGTTTTTCTATATGGCAAGAGTAGTAGGATATTTCTCATTTTATTCGATACAGAGGACCATTTCTAAATTTTTAATATTACTATAAAACCTTCTATAATATTCCTGTTCTTCTCGACCCTTATAGAATCTTTTGTTATTTTCGACGCCATTTACATAAAGTGTGATATCTTATAGTTTTACAGACTTACATAAACTTCTTCTTATATTAAGGTTAATTCCTTTTTTTTTAATGTTAAATAAAAACAAAATTCCAAGAATATTTGACAAAGAATCAAGAGAAGAGAATAAAAACTAAAATTAAATTAAAAATGAAATATCCTTGTTTAGCAGAAAAAAAATCTGCTGGTTTATTTTAGGATGTGATGAAATTTTAACGCTGCCAAAACAAGAGAGAAAAATAAGATGAAATTACGAAAAACAAAAAATAAAAAAAAAATCTGAAGTATAATTTGATTACTTTACAAATATTTCCATGTTTATATATATATATATATATATATATACATACATACCAATAAGTGTCTTGTAAGAGCGCTTAAGTGGTGTTCTGAATTTCAATTTTGTTCTGAAAATGTAATCAATTTATTTAAAGAAATTTTAAATATCAAAGATAAAATACAATATGAAACTGGAAACTGAGACATAGGTTAAACAGCCTTCTCTCACTCTAGACTAGACACTGCCGTTTTAACG